TATTCGCCACGATGACTTCTAACGCTGCTGGTGGAGGGAAGAGAGCCTGCTGTGCGTATGTTTCGACCCACACCCGAACGGCAGCAAGCTAAGCATGTCATCTCACGCTGGGGCGTCCTCGGAGGAAGAGCGGCCTCTCACGTTGGGGCGTCCTCGGAGAAAGAGCGGCCTCTCGCGCTGAGGCGCCCTCGAAAGAGCGGCCAGCCCGGCGTCGGCCGGCGCGACACCGCCGGCTCGCCTGTCGCGCCATATCCGCCCGTACTGGGGGCGCGACACCGCCGGCTCGCCTGCCGCGCCATATCCGCCCGTACTGGGGGCGCGACACCGCCGGCTCGCCTGCCGCGCCACATCCGCCCGTTACAGGGGGCGCGACTGCGACGGACGCTCGGGAACACGATCCGTCCTCAGCCGCCCCAGCCGCTCTGTTTGGCCGTCACAACCACGCGGCCGAGAAGACTGTCAGCGCCGGCGCTTACTCGACCGACAATGCTGGAGCCGAAGGGCTCGGCGACAGACGGGCGGGGTCGGCGTGACCTGACACGCAGGCGCTCAGCATGACCTGATACAAAGGTGCTCGGCGTGACCTGACACGTAGGTACTCGGCGTGACCTGATACAAGGGTGCTGGCATGACCTGAAGCGTAGGTGCTCGGCGTGACCTGACAGGTGGTGCTCGGCGTGACCTGATACAGGGGTGCTCGGCGTGACCTGATACAGGGTGCTCGGCGTGACCTGATACGAGGTGCTCGGCGTGACCTGATACAGAGGTGCTCGGCGTGACCTGACACGTAGGTGCTCGGCGTGACCTGATACAGGGTGCTCGGCGTGACCTGATACAGAGGTGCTCGGCGTGACCTGATACAGGGGTGCTCGGCGTGACCTGATACAGAGGTGCTCGGCGTGACCTGATACAGGGTGCTCGGCGTGACCTGATACAGAGGTGCTCGGCGTGACCTGATACAGGGGTGCTCGGCGTGACCTGATACAGGGTGCTCGGCGTGACCTGATACAGGGGTGCTCGGCGTGACCTGATACAGGAGTGCTCGGCGTGACCTGATACAGGGGTGCTCGGCGTGACCTGATACAGGGTGCTCGGCGTGACCTGATACAGGGGTGCTCGCGTGACCTGATACAGAGGTGCTCGGCGTGACCTGATACAGGGTGCTCGCGTGACCTGATACAGGGGTGCTCGGCGTGACCTGATACAGGGGTGCTCAGCGTGACCTGATACAGGGGTGCTCGCGTGACCTGATACAGGGTGCTCGGCGTGACCTGATACAGGGTGCTCGGCGTGACCTGATACAGAGGTGCTCGGCGTGACCTGATACAGAGGTGCTCGCGTGACCTGATACGGGGTGCTCGCGTGACCTGATACAGAGGTGCTCGGCGTGACCTGATACAGGGTGCTCGCGTGACCTGATACAGGGGTGCTCGGCGTGACCTGATACAGGTGCTCGGCGTGACCTGATACAGAGGTGCTCGCGTGACCTGATACAGAGGTGCTCGCGTGACCTGATACAGGGGTGCTCGGCGTGACCTGACACAGGTGCTCGGCGTGACCTGATACAGGGTGCTCGGCGTGACCTGATACAGGGGTGCTCGGCATGACCTGATACAGGGGTGCTCGGCATGACCTGACAGTAGGTGCTCGGCGTGACCTGATACAGGGGTGCTCGGCGTGACCTGATACAGGGGTGCTCGGCGTGACCTGATACAGAGGTGCTCGGCGTGACCTGACACAGAAGCACTCGAGCGACGTCCTCTATTCTCATGGCCGTATTTACCTCCACTGCAGAGCTCACTTGCGGGACAAAACTGTATTTGACAGACAGAAACGAGCATCGTGTCGTAGGTCCATAATAATAGAGAAACAATCATTTTGGGGCAGACAGCGAGGCCTATACGCTATTTTTTGTAGCGATTGACGGTGTAAAACTTCGCTGCCAGTGTTCCAATGGTTCGTGGCCTCTTCCCTTCCCACAGCGGGCCATTGTTTTGTATGGTTGCTATGGCCCTGGACGCCTCTGTAAAAAAATAAGGACCTGCGGTTATCGATTGCCTTTGGGGCGTCATTGGCGTTTTTGGTCGGCGCTAGAAGCACTATCTGTTCTCACCGGCATGATCCTGTTCATCGACCCGCGCTCCCGCCGTGTCGTTCCCTTCTGACGACACCGCCACTACCCGTCCCAAGCCCGTATTCGGAGGAGCCGGCGGTGAAGAAGATGCCGTCCGCTGCAGGCATAGCTACAGCCGCGCTCCCAGCGGCCGCTCTTCTAGGTTCTGGAGAGTCAATCATCCTTGCTGCTTTGGGTGCCGTGACGGCACAGCGTCGGGACGAGGTCGTTGCAGTAGACAAGCCTGAAAAACGGAGATAATACCCAGCCCATGGTTAGCCCCCATTTGACTTCCTGTCCTGGGAGGCAGTTATGGTGCTAAAAGAAATCAGTGTCTACGCGCCCCCTCCCCCGTGGTTGTGTATATGACCTCGGTCTATGGTACTTCGCCTCAGAAAATTTTGTGCTCCTACCAGCTAGACAGCGTAGAACTACTTCGGCGTACAAAGAAGGCTCGTCCAGCGGACTCGATCACGCGCGGCGGCCAGGTCAGCAGCGACCGGAACTGTCCGCTTCGTGTGTTCAGCTCTGAGAGCGTCGAGGATGTCCTGCCCCAGCCTTTCGGCCTGCCTCCCAGGGCAGCGACCTGTCCTGGAGACGGCCTGTTCTGGCACTCTTATTCCCTCTCCCATTCTTCTTCAAGAGGTAGGTCAATCCACTCTGCACGAGCGGCTCGCCAGCGTACGAACACACTGGACGGGGCTGATTTTTCGGTGCGAAGAGGGCTTTTCCGGTGGTTTACCAGCCTAGTAGATCAGGGGGATGTGAGCCCTCCCCAGAACGTGACCACTTTTCCTGTCTCGACGCTTGGGCTCAGCAAACGCCGCGGCCTTCCGCCCAGCGGCGATCAGCTGTCTGTACAGCTTTGACGTCACTCCTGGGTGACGTCACTCCGTCGGGACCTGCATGACGTCACTCCGTCGGGGCCCGGGTGGCGTCACTCCATCGGGTTGCTGCGGGCCGCCGCCCGCCCAGCTACGTTGCGGGGCATGCAGACCATGTGCAGGCAGTTCGAGTGCTCGGCGTAGTTCGAGTATGCAACGTTGGCCTTCAGCCGCTCCGCTTACTGTTGCGGCTCCGGGCGGGGGGGGGAGGCATCTGGGCGGCGCATGCGGACTTAATCAGGCGTAACGCGTGGCAGGGACCGCAACTTTCCGGTTTGGCGTTCTGATGCCCCCTCCATTGGCCACAAGAACGGCTGCCGATGCCTGTTCTCGGCCGCCACCGTCCATGGCTCGCATCGCCCTGAAAAGCGCATCGTTTTCGCGCTGGTGTCCATCTTCTCGTGTTTGTCTGCCCAGGCTCCCCACTTGGTGTGTCTGATGATGCGGCCGTCTTCTCCAGACTCTGCAATCACGCCGGTGTTCGGTGGTTCATCGGAGCCTGGGCCGAAGAGGCCGGGTACCCGGCGCCTGTCCACTATCTTTTCCAGTGAGCCGTTCCATTTTTGGGGGGCGGAACAAAAGAATGGGGAAACGTGATGGTGTGACTCAGCTGTCCAGCTAGCTACGTTACTCAGACTTAGGTTCAGGCCCTGCTTCGCGAGGTGACGAGACAGGTACTGGGAGGGGGGGGGGGGGGCAATGTCCGGATACCGAGCCCCGTCTTCTTCCAGAGCGTTGTGCAAACCGCAGAAGTCGCAAACTATTCCAGTCAGTCTTTTGACTGGACGCCCTCTGTCTCAACTTGGAGCATATATAGCAGCCTGGACGTTTCTGGTCATCTGAGCAAAACAATTGGCCGTCAGATTTGACGCCAACAGCTATATTTATAGCCCATAGGCGAATGCAAGTTCTAAATAATGCTCGACAGCATCGTTCAAACTATTGTGGCGACACTGACAGCACGGAAAGGGTACATTTGAAAAAGCCCACGTTGTGACCTTTCATGGCCGCTCGATACTTGGCCGGTTGTTCGGCTCTAATCACGGTCCGCCGCCGACTGCTGCCGGAATCGGGGCAGCGGCACCGCCGAGCCGCGCTCCTGCGTTTGGCAGGCAGAGCGGCGGTGAGCGCGCAACAGGCTCGGGCTGGTCCCGTCCGCACGGCCAGGCGCCAACCCCAACAGCCCTCACCCAGTCGTCACATCGGTCACGCGGCGGCGCGCTGTTGCGTCGCGCTGCCACCTGTTCCGACAGAACGTTACGGCCCCGCCAGGGAGCGTCACGTGAGCGCCGCTGCGAGGCTGCGGCACCGCCCAGCGAGCCGAGCCGGACGGCGGCGCGTAGTGACGCCGGTGGGCGTGTGCGTGTATTTTCCATCACGGTCCGGCGGCAGTATAAAGGAGATCGGTACCAGGACCCGGGCCCTCTCGCCGCGCACAGCGGCACGTGCCCGCAACACCCACACACACACACACTCACACACAGTCCGGGCGGCCGACGAGGCAGGCGTATCTCGCCCACCAGCGCATCCCAACGCCGCCAACCTGCCGGCCGGGCTACAACGATTCACGGCCGGGGTGCAGCGTCCGTACTTAGACGCCGCTGTCCTCGCCTACATCACGCACGTTAGTTGCTCGGCAATCTTTATACAAATCTCAACAGAACGCCTGACCAACGGTAAAACGGGAACACAAACGGCGCCTTCTCTGCACGCTAAAGCAGTGGCCGACCTTTAAACTGGCAACGAATGAGAGCGCCCCGCCAATCCCCGACAGCTTGGAGCCAAGCTGAAACAATGTGCTCACTGATTAGACCAAATAAAGAATCCGACTTTCGGGCGCACTCAAAACGAAATCACATCAGACCTTGATAGAAACAAAACGGAAGCAGGCCACCCCGCGCCGGGCGGCGGATGGGTCAGTGCCCTCCTCCGTCCGGTACCCCCCGGATGGTCCGGCGCGACCCCTCACACCCCGCCGGTCCAGCGCCGCTGGGCCGCGTCCGCGCCCGCGCCAGCCTGACTGCGCGGCCGGCGCCTCTTGGCTCCGCCCGCCGGGGCCCGCCCGCCCCTCGTTTGTACGCGCACTCAGTGCTCCTCCTCGTCGTCGTCGTCCTCGTCGTCCTCCTCCTCGTCGTCGTCGGTGTCGAAGTCGATGCTGGGCGTGACGGAGTCGCCACGCTCCGAGGTCGTGGACGTGCCGCTGCCGAGGCCACGCGTCGAGAGCGCCGTCTCCAGGTCGACGCTCAGCCGTTCCGACTGGCTGCCGTCCCGCGCCAACTCTGCCACACAGGGGACACACACGCGTCTCAGTCAGCGGCAGGGCGGCGACGCGGCGCGCTACGGCAGGCCGACGCCACAGAAGCTGCGAGGCACGCGGCAACCGACGCCACGGGGCCGAACCTTTCGCGGCTGGGTGCTGTGAGCACAGGGCTGGTTCAGAGCGTTTGTGAGGCAATTTTTCTGTCCCACTTGTCGTAAGCAGCCTATGTCCACATGCGGAGGACTCCGCTAACAACCAGTTTCAACCTTAACGTGCTACAGCCCGTCCCCAGAAGAGGTACTCACGGTCTATATAGGGCGCCAGGGAGGGCGGCACCATGGCCTTGGCCTTCTCGACGTCCTCCTCGCGACACGTGCCGTTCTCGAGACCTGTCGGCAGCGCGAGGCGCGCCGTCAGCGTCGGCAGCGCAGGTCGTCAGCTGGACCCAGTCACGGCAGCGGACCCCCCCCCCCTCCAGACGGAGGATCGCCCCCCGCAATGGGACGGGGCGGTCATCCCACCGTCATCACTGCCGGCTGTGCGCCAGCGGTGAGGTCGTACCCACAGCCGGCCTCCCTCTGGGCGCCGCCAGTGGCTGCTGCCGACGACATCTTTAGTGCATGGTCGGCATGACCACATCCCCGCTTTGTCGGTTCCCACATCGAATCGACTGCTCGTGCCCTGCCATCAGCGCGCGCGATTCCTGCTCAGGGGCACGCGAGAAACCACTCACCGAGCGCCAAGCCCATGCGCTTGAGCACCTCAATGTCATCGTGAATCTCGAACGTGTCGTTGAAGTTGAACAGGTACTACTCCATTCTGAAACAAGCGGATGGCACCGTCAACGTCAGCCCGAGACGTGCCGCGATGCCGGCGTTGCCTCGACAAACGGCGTTTGCAGGATGTGACGTCAAACCAAGCAAGGCCAGCACGGCACATGTCAAAGTTCACGCTCTCCCTCACCTTACTCTTTGGTTGATTTTTCCCAGCAGCAATAGCCCTAAGCTGCGCACAGCTCCAAACCGACAGCGCGCCATAAATCACAAAGGTACAACTAGTCACCGACACAGTAGTTTGCTCATGGCTGATGGAGCAAGGCAGACAAGAAGTACCAACCATGCGACGCTGAACAGGCCACTAAGCGCTGACTTCATGAAGAAGACCATACCACAGTTATACATCCCACTTCATTGTAAATACAAGGCGCCTCCATAACAAATCGAATAGCGAAATTAGCGCGGGAAAACAAGATTAGATGCAATGTGCGCATCTATTCATCCATCCATCCATCCATCCGTGCATGCATGCAAGTCCCATCTGCAGACAAGGCGTGGCCATATAAAACATAAAATCATCGCACAGTGTCTACAACGCCGAATTGCCGATCGCCTATGCGTGTACATTACATCATGTTCTTACGCAGAGACAACCATGCTCCCGTTCTTATCTACTCTTGAAATCAACAGCAGCTACGCATGGTGTAACGGGAGTGACGGGATAGAACCGCTCGGAATATCAAGGCCTCGGACTCTAACGCACTCCACCCGCAAAGTCTTACGTTTACATGTAATTCCGGAGCTGCCGAAATTGCTTGAGAGTTGTTGAAATTAGATGGGCGCTTTCGAACTGGTGAGACTTAATTCCAAAGTGAGAGCGGAAACGCCCGGTTACTCCCGCACAGCTCTTTTTGGCAGAGGACGCTCTTTCTGCTACTGTCGGCCGCTGAAGAGGTGCCGAGAATGGATGTCTCTCGCTTAGATGCAATTCCTTCGCTCTGCATGCGGCGCATTAGTTCTGAACTGTATGCAATCACGACGAATGAGGTTGGAACGGGGTGCAGTTCCTTGAAAACCGCTGCGCCCCGTTCCCGCGTTCCAGACGGTACGCTGCAAGTTTGGGACCGAACGGTACGCGACCTGCCGTTTTCGCGACCCCGTCAGTGACCCGAAGCACGAGGAGGTATGCGACTGGGCCCCACGAGCTGATCCCTGGGGCCGAGGTCTGGGTCCAAGCACCAAACGACACTACGCGATCCCGGCTTTACTTATGGACTTATGAAGGGCCGAATAATTACCTCCCAGATCTGTGTCGTCCGGCAGGAAACAATGGTTAATTTGGAAGAGGACCAATTGGGACCAGGCTCCCGGGTTCCGTTGTTCACCCCTGAACAATTCTGGAAGCCAAACCCCACCGTGCATTATTTTGCAAGAACTCAAAGAAGCCAGGACTAGGAGCCTGATTCTAGAAGAGACCAGAGAACCAAGAAAGGTCGGTTTTCAAAACCACTGGAAAACAGATTCCCGTATATAACGGTCAAGAGGCGCCGGTGTCCGGCTATACAAAGGGACCGACGGGAACTCGGATGCAGTGCGTGTTGTATGCAGAAGAAACCAGAAGACCCAGGATCCAAGGTCTGGATTTGGTGAGGAGGCAACAGGAACCAAGATGCAGCTTCTTTATTTTGTGAACAAACCAAAGGATGCCAGAAACCGACAACTGGAACCATGAACATTTCTAGTGATAAGCAACGCGTGATTGTTACCTTCCAAACCCATCGGTGAAATCTGTACCAGTGAATAACAGTGACAACTATTGACCCAAAACAATGTATTGTACAAAATGTTAACTGTCGCAAGGTTTAATACGTGTGCTTATGACTATCAGATAAAAAAAACATCATGAAACAGTGCACGGTTATGTCATTATTTCTTTCATGGGTGCTGAGGTAATGGTACATCTACGAGCCGGAAATAAATTACATTCAGACTTGGGGAAAAAGAACGTTGTAAAACTGGTTTAAGTTGCCGTGCCCTCAGGGAACACTACCGAGCATCTCAATGCGACACCTCATACAAACGTGGGGCATATGACCGGCGGACGATTGGCGTTTGAATGACGTTTAAACACACATCATTATGCCAAAACTTCACATGTTCACTTCATGCAGCATTTTTTTTTAAAATGATGCTCTTAACACGCACTCGGGTAACGGGTGGTGTCAAGTTGAACCCCCCCCCCCCCCCGAATATTTTTTCCGAATGGTTTCCGAACGGCGCGGCGTAGCCGCGCCAAATTTGCATAGCTGTAGACGATTGAATAGCAAATCGTCTGATGTAAAAAATTAGATCCACCTTGTAAGGTCGCGGACCCATGGCAGGTCAAAGTCAAGCCATGGTTCCAGCGAAGGCAATTTCTAGGGAGTCGTTCAATCTGATGCAACAAAGGAGTGGTAGACGAAGCCATACATCTCTGAGATACTTTCTTAGACAACAAGACAATTGAATAAGTAAATTGCATTAACCTAGGGTCAGGTATGAAGGTCAGACCAAGGTCAAACCAACCCGTTTTATTACTCCAGGGCTTGCTGTATGGGATAGTTTCTGGCGCCCATTTCGAGCATATCGATAACAGGAACCGCCTTATACACCTACCATGGACTTCTTAAAGGTCACAATAGGTCATTAACCTAAAATGACTACGGTAAACATTTTGTTTTTAGGAGCATACTGCCTAGCGTAGCCTTAGTCGCGTATTGAAAAGCAAAACTCAATGCAGTTTTGTATGCTTTTGGTCACCACGACCTTCAAAATTTCAAAGAAGGTCACTGATCTTAAATGAGCATATAACCTTTTGCTTCAAATAGTTATCTACGTTCTAACGGCCATATCGAGACCATCATCGAATTTGACCTTCTTTGATCTTATTTGGTCCGAAGGTCATGACCTAGGAACTTCAAATCTTGACCCAAGTGAGTTCACGTACAGGTCAAAACATCCTGTGAATTTGGTGTTTCTAGCTCTCTTAGTTCCTAAGATTTCAGCTGGGGGGGGGGGGGGGGTCAAACTGACCCTCCACCCGAGCGAAGGGTATCCAACCGGCCACCGGGGCGCGTGTTAACGCATGGCGTTCGACAATCCACGTCCCTACGCGTCCCAGGGATCATTCTAAAGGGAAGTGATGGTAAATCTTTGGCGGTGCTATCTGTTGCACCATCCTGTAAAGATGAAAGACAATTTCCCACTATAAAGCAGCATTTCAGGTGGGTTCCGCACTACTGACAAGACGCAGAGCCTGTGGGGAAGGGCATTTCACTGGTCAATACGGTCGTAAATTTGCAAACTCCAACATGAAACTTAGAATGCCTCAACGCTGATGATGATTTGGGGTTTTGGGGCGCATCGACTGCTGTAGGTCATGCAACGCCCATAGCTATCATTTTATGCAGAACCGTAAATCAGGCAAATGTATCCGGCCACCCTATAAAGCCTTGATGATCAGGCCCGGTATCACGATGAAAAGTTTACTGATAAATCTGCAGCGCGAAGAAAATGGAACACTTTACCAAACTCGACAGCATGCGAACAACGCCCAAAAAAGTGACATAGCGTGCGACTCTGGACATTGTGTCCGAAAAACCGCGCTCTCGTTGCGGGAAGGTGACGGCAAGTGACGAGTACGTGATGCACGGTCAGCGGGTCGGAGCATCGACTGCAGCGTGGTCTGTCGCCAGCCAATAACAGGTGGCGGTGCGTGGCATATGTGTGGCCTATGCGTAACCGGCAAAGGGCAACTTCCTCCCTCCTATTGTTGCGAAAACACGACTGCCATAGTCCAATACGGGGTTTCGCTGATTTCAGCTCGTTGGTGTTCAGCGAGTTCCAGTGGAACTGCCATCAATTCTGCATAAACGACGACACCCCGGGTTGCATGTCTTCAGCTGGTGGTGGTGTTATAGGAATGTGTGCCCCTGTCGTAGGAATGTGTGCCCCCTGTGCTTTGCACCCGCGTAAGCAAGATCATTCCCGCAGATGCCCACGCCGCTTGGGATTCAACACATTGCGACCGTTTTTCCTACTCGATCCCATGAGCTAAGACGCGATTGAATGTCCTGGACCAATCGATTCGACGAGGAGAAGCCACCAACAGCCAGGAGACTGCTCAAGGAGACGGAAAGAATCAGATGCAAGTTGTTATCGTCTACTTCAATAAATCAGAGAGCTTTGCTGATGGCCTTAAGCTTGGAAGTGAAGACCCACGCGCGTGCAGGCAGTGTGAATGGCCGTGATGCGGAACCATACACAAAAGCGCATCCTACACCTGTATCCGTCTTCGAACCATCCGTATAGGTCATCACGTGTACGTCAAAGGAGGCTATGTGCTCTACGGCTGCGTCTTTAAGTTCCGTCATGAGAACGCGTTGCTTTTGGATGTTCGATAGCGAAACATTCACTCTTGGCGATGCTACCACCCAGGAAGCAGTCTTCATGAGTCTAGGTTCGATGGCAAGTGGTAGGTTGAAGCCGCTCGCGTCTAGAACTTCCCCCATTCGTACACAAGAGGGAGAAGTTTGTGGTGGCCGCTGAAGCACAAATAGCCTTCCTAAGCCTTGCGACAACACTGCTTCGTAGGTGAGAAGATCTGGGAACTACGCCAGCTGGCACGTGTAGCGCAGTTCCAGCACCTGCCTTCGCAATGCTAGTGGGGGCTAGTGAGCCTCCACCAGAAGACTATCTACGGGCGATACTCGGAAAGCCCTGTGACGATACGTAATGCCGTGCGGTGCACCGTGTTCAAAGTACATTTGATCAGGTCTGATGTACCGTCACAGATAAGACAGCCGTAAAGTTTTGAACGAATGAGGGAACAGCACAGGAGAAAGAGCGTCCTCCTGTCAGCACGTATGATGTACGTCCCACGCACCTTGTAACGTTAAGAGATCGTGAACATTTGTCGCAGATATTTCTTATGTGTTCTTGATACGTTAGGCGTCGGTCAAATCGTATACCGAGAAATTTCACGGTATTC